TTCTGTGGTCTATGGTTTTATTGTATTTTTTTTTTCTCCTAGCATTAAAAATGGCCTTGAATTATCTTGATCTTTTTTCATTCAGTGGATAGCCTTTAAAGGAAAAAAAAAAACAAAAAACAGTAAATAAGGGAAATAAAAATTTTGACACATAGATAAAAATACAGTTGTCCTAGCAAACTTAATTTTTAAACTCAGCTGATTATCTTAAATTCAATATATTTCCAAACCCTTTTTAAAAAAAGTGTCACCTATAACATTTAATGTCAAATATATCATTTGTTCGAATAAAGAAAACACCACTAGTGATTGGCACTGAAAGCTTTATAAATGCAGTTGGTTTATTTAAATAATTTAGTTAAGCTTTGGATTCTCTTGTACCCCTTCTGGCCTAATGAGTTGGAGAGCTCTCAAACATATATCAGGGAATTTCTTAGGCAGAACCACCCTGGAAGAAATTAAAGTGGAGGAAAGGTTTCAGAGGTATTTTTGTTTCATTTCCCTTGCAAGATTTAGATGTACTTTTAACTGTATTTATTTGTTCATTATATTTAATTTGAATGTGAGACATCTGAGGAAAATTCCATTAAAATTTCTAAGATGATATCCTTTATACAGGGGGAAAAAAACTGTGGTATGGCAGCTGACAATTATTTGAAAAAGGTCTGTGCTGCTGACTTAGGATCTTTACTACAGGTGATGGGAAAATGCACCTGTAGTATCTGAGCACAGAGAGGTATTTTTAAAAAGAAATTAAGGTACTGTAGTCCAAATAATGCCCTCCAAAGATGTTTACATTCTCATCAGGTTCTGTCAATATTTTGTTAAATGCCAAATTAAGGAATTGTTTGGAGAGGATATTAGTAGCGTTTCTAATTAGCTGACCTTAATATAAAGAGATTATCCTGCTTGATCCGGGTGGTCCTAGGCTACTCACAAAGGTCCTTAAATGTGGAAGGGGGGCCAGGAGAAGTCAGTTAGATTTAAAGATAGGAAAAGGGGACAGCAGTTGGGGAGTGCCTTAGAAGCACAGCAGGTAAGGGAACATTCTCCCCAAGAAGCTCCAGAGAGGAACACTTTTACCAAAACCTAGATTTTAGTCCAGTGAGAGACTTCCAACCTATGAGACGAATACATTTCTGTGTCTGGTCATTTGTTACAACAGCAAGAGGACACTAATACAGGTACATTCGATGTGATGCTGCACAGTCATTAAAAATAATACTTAACACATAATGTGGAAAATATTCATGGTAAATTGTTGGGTTAGAAAAGCAGCTGAGGAAACACTGTAGGACAGTGAAATCAAACATATAGACGTTTAGGGAAAATTTGAAAGATAGGCTGTAAAATTATATTCATGGTTCTCTGTGGATGTTGGGATTATTATTTTTCTGTCTTCTTCCTGTACTTCCCAAGTTTCTTACTTAATCAGAAAATAAAATTAAATGTTGAACATGATTGACCTTAACAGTGGAGATAGGTTACTCATAGTATTTTAACTCCTTCAAAATCTTGGAGAGGAGATGAGCTCCGATGAATATAGTAAGCTCCTGTAGGTTAGCTTGTTTGTGCTCAATCCTTACTTTGCCAAATTTCTGCATCTCAAACACATTGAAAATATGTTAACGTCTACCTGCTGTATTTTTTATTTTTTTTATGAACTAAAGTTTGAAACCTGAGCCATACAAAATTAGAAAATATTTTTGGCATACAAAGATTAATCTCTGAGTATTTGTATTAATGGTATAAAGATTACAATAGCAGGATAACTAAGTACATAGGTGTAGTATCTAAGACTAAAACCTGAGGTGAGTGGACTTAACCTTTATGGGCTCAGCTGGATACTGCCTTTTACCTTTCCTTACCAGATACACTCCTGGCACCCATCATTGTTAAAAAGTCTCCCCTTCATGCCTTATGTATTTGATTTTCTTTAGTGGTGGGTTTTATTGTTGCTCTTGATATATGTAGAGAATGTAACTTAAAGGAAATTAAACCTCTATAAGCAGAATAAAATTCTCCAAGTTAAGTCAAATGCTTTGATGTCAAGAGCATTTTCAATAACTATTATCTACCATACAAAACTGCTCAACTTTAATATAAAGTCCTGGTTCCGAGTCACTGGGTAGAAGACCATTATTTAGTACCTGGGAGGCAGCAGACTGCAGCGACAGGAGGGGAGCTCAGGCATCACGGGTGATGTGTCTCTGTTCCTGCAAGTGACTCCAACTTCTTGAGTTCCTTTGTAAAAGGGACTGTGACGATCCTCATCGCCTACAGTTATCATGAGAAGGAAAGGAAACAAAATGGTTCTCCCTGTATCAGGAATTGGTGGCTATCATTATAGCTGAAGGCCCTTTTTACTGAGTATTGTTACTTGAACTACACAATTTAAGAAAATTCAGTAACTGCTTGTGTTTGGTCATTTCAAGGCATGTCTTCTTATTAGGTGTGATAAAGTAACACGTATCTAACAAGAAACTGCTGTTGTATGGGAAGCTAACTGGCAGAAGTAGCAGAAACTTCTGTTTGACCTGTGTTTGTTTCCTATCACCTCAGTAGAGAATACAAACCTGCACCTAGTTTCTCCAAAATGCTTTATAAAGCGGATGTGATTTCTTCTGTGACACAGTGTAAAAGAGGACCCTGGTGTTTTTAGGTACAAGTCCTAAAGGAAAAAGAGAAACAAGAGGGTATTTGGCTTTGGCCTCTAAGGTCTCCTAGGGAAATGATGGGAATGTAATGAAAACAAGAGCACCTTGCTGGAACTTACCTTCTCTCTCCGTTTGCTTCACTATCACACTTAAGGATTTTTTTTTTATGTGTATGGCAAAGTCAAACCTGTTACTTTGTGAAATAGCAACCATGTCCAAGTCTTCAAGGACAACTGCAATAAAACCCAAAGCACAAAAGGGGCACTTCAAACAGGGAAATGCTTTTCCTAAGATGTTAAATCAGGAGTGACTAAAAGAGCCAGATTACTTATGTAAAAATGAGGAATAAAAGAATAAGTTCTTAAATTTAAATAATCAAATGAAATATCCTTGGTTTGCTAATATCCCTTACCCTGTCTTGGAAAAAATTCTTTGTTCAACAATGTTGAGACTCTAGGGGATCTTGGGATAATCTTCAGATAAAAGGTTAAACTGTCCTTTTTGTGCTAAATGTTGGGTACACAATGGCATTGCATATTTTCAAAGCAAACTGCTAAAAGTACAGTATGTTTCAGAAAGTTTGTAAGTTTTCACAATCAGTGTTTTAACACAGAAATCTGTTTATTAAACCAAACAAAACAGAGAAAATTATACCAGCCCTCGATTTTTTTGAATTTTCATTTAAATAAGCAAACTCTAAATCCACACCTTAAAAGATGTTTGTGCATCTATGTATTTCCAAAATACTCATATTTCAATAAGATTTTCACATTATATTCACCAACAGTATCACAAAAGTTTTTTTGTTTTTTTCTTTTGTTTACGTAACTGTCAGGAACAGTAATTCTAGAAACACTAGAAGAAAAAGCATAGCAATGTCCACAGTTACAAGAAAAAGTGCACATTACTTGGTCACAATCACAGTCATTACTTGAAAAACTATATGTAACAAGTACATAAGAGATATCACTGATGCCTTAAACTCATTATCAAAAACTGAATGACATAAGTTTTACATGAAATAAGGCAAATTCAGGAATGCACAAAGAATTCATAATCCAACCAAAGCTGAACAGAAAAATAATCATACAAGAAGCATAAACTGATGTACTTCTCCCTAAATATTTAGAAAATAGGCTTGCCTCAGTGCACAAAGAAAACACCATTCATGTGTATCCAACACTATAAAATAAGAAAGAAGGGCAAAGTGTGGGGGAAAGGAGGGGACAGTTCATTGAAAATTGCAGCTGCATCCACTGAGAGTTCTTTACATCATTGTTACCTAGAACTGTAAATTATACAAATCCTATCAGGAGAGGTAATGGTCTTTTTGGAAACTTTCTGAAATAGTGAAGGAAAAACTACACACGAGTGCAAATTTTCAGATTGTCACTTGCAACCTCTTAACATTCAGCCATCTACATCCAATTGCTGCTGGAGGCATGCCTGAAACACAGCAGCGTCAATCCGGGGTGAGCAGCTGTAAGGAACCAAGGTGTGATTTTTTTTTTCAATGATGTCTTTTTTAATATTAAAAAATTCTGTGATGAAAACCTCTATTGCGAAACCGCAATGTTGAGTGGCATGATGAGCGTGAGTGCAGAAACGCAGGCTTCTCTTAGAAGTAGTTCCTGATGTGACGATTTAAAGAACGTAGCAAGGGTTTGTTTTCCAGCATTGTTATTTTTGTAGAAAGAATTTGGAAAGAGGAGAAGGCAAAGGGATGTGGAAAAGGTACTTACAGTAGTTTCTCAAAACAGTTTTCTTTTAGGACCTATGAAAAAGTTACCAAAGTAAAAATGACAATTTTGAATGAAAAACAAGTTTTCTTTTTATAAAAATTACATATATTTTTTTAAAATACAAGATCCTTCTCAATGTTGTTATATCCTGTAGCAACAAGAAATTTGGCTTTTTTTTTTTTTTTTTTTTGCCAGATACTGCAGCTTTCTGTCCAATAAGTCAGTAGCAAATTCCACTAATATTTCAGTTGGATCTTGAACTATTTTTTTTATACCACAAGCTTCTTCTGTTTTATCCTTGAATTAGGAATATACAGCTTTTTTTTTTTTTTTTTTTTTTTTTTGCCCCAGATATTTATGCTGACAAACTAAAACAAAAAGCAGTAGGCTGGACACATTACGGTATCTCAAGTACTTCAGAGGTCAGAGTTCCTTTGAAGCACCTTAACACATCACTTTATGGATCAAGGACAATGTGGCATAATGGAAGTACTTCTCTTAAGACTGTGCAGTAAGACCAGAAGCATCTCTGCTGGGAAATCAAAATGTCATTAGTGGAAACTGCAAATTTAGACCTCCGTGAAGAGGACCGTCATTTGACTCAGTTCTGTTGTAAAATAAGATTTTCCAGTTCATCTGCAGAACGCAATAAAAATGCAGCTGATTCTCGATATCCTGCAACGAGCTGCCTCACAGCACTGATCTCAGTTGGACTCAGCTGGGGTCTGGAGCTTGAACTGCTGGAGGAGCCTGAGCTAGTTGCCAACTGCCTCTTCATGCTGAGATCCGTGGGTCCTAGAAAAAATAATCACAAAATTAACATGAACAATCTTTGTTCCGGAACTTTGAACACGAGCATTAAATTGTGGACTTAATTCACTTACTCTTTTGTGAGAAGCTGCTGATACCTTTAATCAAATACATCAGCTCTCCGAAATGCCAAAGAGCAACATGATGTGAGATGAGTGGCTGAGTATTCTGAGAGTCCTTGTCCAGGCAATCGCCTCTTACTGTGGGAAGTCCGTGAAGAAGAACTTCTCCTAACGTGTGCTTTTTGGAAAATTCAATTTTAAGTCTACTTTACCCCGTGTTGTAGAAGTTTCTCTGCAGCAGCGTAAAATGTTGGGACTTATAAATGCTTTGTGTTTGCACCGTTGGTTAACAAATAATTTTAGATTCCACCTACTCAGACTTGGAAACATCCTAGATTGTGAGGCTAATGACTCCAGACTACAAACTCCTCCATTTAGAACAAAGGAAATTTTGGACAGGGGAATTCAATGACATGGTTACAATTCAACAACTTTTAAGTGGCACAGTAAGGATGTGAATTGCATATTATTTCATTTCAGGCGAATGCTTTTCTTCCATCAAGTTGATTAGTATTTAAAAATATGTATTAAATTAGTAAAAATTAGTATTTAAAAATATTAGCAGTTTGTTTTAGAGGGGTGCAAAAAGTAAATGATCAGTACACACAATCTGCAAAGAAACCAGACCTGGAATAGTGCTTTAGGTATTGCTAAAGATGCTTCTATATTATTTGCATAAAACATTTAGGTGTCAAAATGTTTATTACATATAATTAAACCAAATCAGATAGGTCTGTTGACATTTCGTAAATTTTTAGTTTTTTGTAAATTTTTACTTTAAAACAACTTAGTTAACACAAATGTCTGAATTAAAGATTTTTAAGATGCTTTGCATCAATTCTTGATTAAGGGTTTTTTATGTGTTATAAAGGTTAAGTGTTCATTGTTATAGCAATTACTTAATGAAAAGAACTATAATTATTAAATTTGCAATGAGTAATACATTTAAAAGCCCTGAATAAATATTACTGTGGACATAAGGCAGGCTCAAAAATTGTAGCGATGCTCTAACTTGAAATGATTTAAACAGATTTTTCTTAAAGATAACGTTTCAGATAATGGTATTCATTTCCTGAACCGAAACAAGGGATGTTATTTTATCCTGTTCGTTCTTCTTGAGGCCTGATGGAGACCGGTCAGGACCCAACCCCCTTCACTCTGTACCCTGAAGGGAGACGAGGACTCCTGTCAGCTAGGTGGCACATGTCCCATGAGGTGGGAACAGCTTCACTTGTAATTTAATTAGGACAGAGACAAGCCTAGCACATAAGAACTCTGACATTTGAGAGGGACTTATTTCCACTTCTGCCACAGCCTTTCAAAGCCTTGATTTCCTAGCAGGAGTTAGCTTCCATTTGTTCTGCTGTTTACAAAATCCTGCTGCTGACCTAGCAAGCTGAAAGGGAGAGATGTGGGCATGTCACACTTGCAAACAGGAATTAATGAAGAAGTGTGCAAGCAAATCAATAGCAACTAGGTTATTTGGAAAGTTCTGAATGGATTAAGAAAATATCATAACAATGGATTCTGGTTTATGGATGAACCAACTTTAAATTTGGATTTTTTTGTCCTTTATATTCAAGAATCCCAGTACCAGTACAAATCTTTATAAAAGGAAGTGGAAAGGATTTTTCTCAGTTATGTAGATATGGCACGTCTAGTTGATCATTATTTTGTTAGAAGTTGTAACATTTTATGATGTTTTTGCTGACAAGCTAAGTGGCTGGTTGACATCTTTAAGTGGAATTGAGAAAGGGTGAGCCTAGGGCTCAGGTTCTTTTTGGGATGAAAAAGGTGGTGATTTCATTCTAACACTGCACTTTATAGATTATTCTCTACCTCTGGCTCGGGGGTAAAGGCTTCCCAACTAAGACATGGCTTTCACTTTCTTTCTGATTATCAACATAGGCAAATTCTAGATAGCTCAGGAATACAGAAGCCATTCACACCTTTGTTATTTTTCTGGAAGAAAGTTGACTTCATTATCTTGGTGTCTTTTGGATCTACAGGATCAGGATTAAGTATAATCAAAACTATAAGGAATTCTTTTTGCTGAATATTACTAAAACTTCAAAGCTAAGAGGTTGAGCAGGGAAGCAAAAAAATTAAAAGTCACAAATGAACAAATTTAGTGACTACTCAAACAGCCTTTCCTTGTTTGTTACTAGTATTCTTAACTGCCTCATTTAGACAATGTCCTACTTCGTTGGGTTAGCGTAACCCAAACAATCAATACAAAGTAAAACTTCAAATCTTATGAAGACACTGGATTTAATGAATTCGAGGAAAATATTTTGGAGATTTAATCAAATCACAAAGCCACTAAAAAGTATGGTTCTGGAAGAGTGGGACCAGTTAACAAAACAAGCAAAAATAATGACAAAATAGGTATTTCAAGAGAAAATGATTTGAGTATCAAGTGTTAAAGCAAATCAAAAAACTTGACAAGTTTTAAAACCATAATTATGCAGATCTACTTTCTTTATGTTCATTCTGAAAATTTGAGTAAGAGATATTTCATGGTAACAGGCAATGTTAGAAAAATTAAACTCCACCAAAACCAATCTTTGATTTTTTGTTTAAGGTTTGGAGGCAGATTTAAGTTATAAGTAAATTCTAATTAAAGGAAAATGAGTATCTGTAATTCACTTTATTTTTTGATATATTTTTAAATTAAAATATAGTTCACATACAATGTTATATTAGTTTCAGGTGTACAACAGTGATTCAACAACTCTGTTATGCTAGGTTCTTTTTGTTTTCTTTTTGTTTGTTTCAAGTTTTTATTTAAATTCTAGTTAACATTTGGTTAATATTAGTTTCAGGAGAATTTAACGATTCATCATGTGCATGTAACAACCAGTGCTCATCACAAGTGCCCTCCTTAATACCCATCACCCATTTTTCCCATCCCCTCCCCTTTTCCCCTTCAGCAACCCCCCATTTGTTCTCTCTAGTTAAGAGTCTATTTTATGGTTTGCCTCTTTTTTTTTCTTTCCTCTATGTTCATCTGTCTTGTTCCTTAAATTCCACATATGAGTGAACTTGTATGGTATTTCTTTCTCTTATTTCGCTTAGCATAATACACTCTAGCTCCATCCACATCATTCAAATGGCAAAATTTCATTCTTTTTGATAGCCAAGTAATATTCCACTATCCATCAGTCAATGGACATTTGGACTCTTTCCATAATTTGGCTATTGTTGATAATGCTGCTAAAAACATTGGGGTGCATGTGCCCCTTTGAATCAGTATTTTTGTATTCTTTGGATAAATACTTAGTAGTGCAATTGTTAGGTCAAGGGTAGTTCTATTTTTAACTTTTTGAGGAAACTCCATACTGTTTTCCAGCTGCACCAGTTTGTATTCCCACCACCAGTGTAAAAAGGTTCCCCTTTCTCTGCATCCTCACCAACATCTGTTGTTTTCTGTGGTGTTAATTTTAGCCATTCTGATCAGTGTGAGGTAGTAGCTCATCATGGTTTTGATTTGTGTTTCCCTGATGAGTGAGGTTAAGCATCTTTTCATGCGTCTGTTAGCCATCTGTGTGTCATCTTGGGGAAAAAGTCTATTCATGTCTTCTGCCCATTTTTTAACTGGGTTTTTTGGGGGGATGTTGAGTGTTGAGTTTATTAAATTCTTTATAGATTTTGGATACTAACCCTTTACCAGATAGGTCGTTTGCAAATATTTTCTCCCATTCTGAAGGTTGCCTTTTCACTAAAATGTAGCTATCATCCGTCACCATACAAATCTATTATAATTCCATTAACTATATTCTGTAAGCTGTACCTTTCATCCCTGTGACTTAGTTATTCCATAACTGGAAGCCTATATCTTCTATTCTCCTTCAACCACTTTGCCATCCCCCATCCCCCTAGCAACCATTAGTTTGTTCTCTGTATTTATGGGTCTGTCTCTGCTTTTATTTGTTGTTTTAAGTTCCACAAATAAGTGAAATCATATGGTGTTTGACTTTGTCTAATACCATCCATCCATGGTATTAGAGAAAGTCCATCTATGTGGTCTCAAATGGCAATATCTCATTATTTTTTTTTAATGATAGTCCATTACACACATGCCCACAACCACACAGCCCATGCATTTATTTATGGGCACTTGGGCTGCTTCCATATCTAGGCTATTGTTAAAAATGCTGCAATAAACATAGAGGTACATATATTTTTTTTTCAAATGAGTGTTTCTATTTTCTTTGGGTAACTATCCAGTAGTGAGCTGCTGGACCATATGGTATTTCTATTTTTAATTTTTTGAGGAAACTGCATACTATTTTCCATAGTGGCTACATCAAATTACATTCCCACTGGCAGTGCATGAGGAGGGTTTCTTTTTCTACACATCTTCACCAACACTTGTTATTTCTTGTCATTTTGAGTCTAGACATTCTGACAGGTGTGAGGTGATAACTTCATTGTGGTTTTGATTTGCATTTCCCTAATGATTACTAACATCGAGCATCTTCCAATGTGTCTGCTGGCCATCTGTATGTCTTCTTTTGATAAATGTCTATTCAGGTCCTCTGCCCATTATTTAATCACATCATTTGGGAGGGCTTTTTGGTATTGAGTGTATAAGTTCTTTACATATTTTGGATATTAACCCCTTATTGGATATATCATTTGCAAATATATTCTCCCAATCAGTAGGTTGTCTTTTCAATTTGTTTGATGGTTCCTTTGCTGCACAAAAGCCTTTCATTTTGGTGTATTCCCAATAGTTTATTTTTGCTTTTGTTTTCCTTGCTTGAGGAGACATATCAAAAAAAAAAAAAATGTTGCTAAGGCCAGTGTCAAAGATATTACTGCCTATGTTTTCTTCTAGGAGTTTTATGGTTTCAGGTCTCACATTTAGTTCTTGAACCCATTTTGAGTTTATTTTTGTGTATGGTATGAGAAATTGGT